ATGGTACTGACTTTGATTTCTGTTGCCTGTTTCAAGGTCAGTTTACATTTCTCTTCAGTGCTTGACCATTAGAGGAGTGATGATGATTGGTCTTATCTTTCTGGTGATCTGCTTCACATGTTACCAGTTTTATTTATGTGCCTTTTTGCAAAAGGCAAACCTCCAAGTAGGAACTGTCCTATGTCTTGGAAATCCCAGGTATTCATAGTTGCAATGGATATTCTATTGTTACTGAAGGAGCGTCCTTCCTCCTTGCAACTACTCCTTTGCCCCTTAGTTCTGATTCCAGCCTCACATTTAGCCATGACACACTCCCTTTTCTGGAATTGTACCCTATAAGGATGTTTTTACTTTGAGTTTAATCAGTGTCTGGACTGAAGTTGCTGTGGTGACCCCAATCTCCCTCCATGATTGTGGTACTTACTCCAACAGGGTCTAGGAGGTGTGCTTCTCAGAGCTGAGTTTCTCCCCAGTAATTGCCTTTAACTCTAGTAAGATGCCTTGCCTGGGTCACACCCAAATCTGGAGGCAGCACAAATCCAATTTCTGGTCAGTAGAAGTTAAGTACAAAATCTTAGTTCCTTTGCTTCAATTCTAGAGGACACCAAAGGACAAGTTGAGCATCAGTGCTCCCCAAAGAACAGGATCATGGTCCTGCACTTGTCTCTTGTCTCCCAGTCCAGTTTCTCCCTTGGTTTACTCCTGCCTTCTTCACTCTCTGGGTTTTTGCTGAGAGCTCCTCCAGGTAGTCTCCTGTATACAATCTCACTCTCAGAGTCAGTTTCTTTGCATCCTCACCTAAGAAAGCAGCTAACATTATAAGTTATCTATCTTTGACTCTTGAAAAATTCAGGATTAAGGGTACACAATCCAAAAATCTGCATATACCTGTTGACTTTCCCTTCTCCAAACTTAACTCCAAACAAACAGCCTCCTGTATTTTATATGTGTTATCCACCAATCTTCTTATTATCTTACAATAAACTAAGGTAGAGAGAAGAATGTTAAAAAATCACCAAGATGAAAAGCCATTTCTATTTTTCTTAAATAAAATGCATGTATATGTGGAATCTTGAAGCTTAAACATTATTCAAGGAACTTCTGTAGACATAAATATCAAATATAAGCAATTTGTAATATTGGTATCAGGCCAATGAAATAGAATTGTATCTCTTCATCAAAGAATATATGACCACCAAACATATGAAAAAATATTTAACCTTATCATTAGCAAAATTCAAAGTGGAATCATAATAAGATATCATTTGGTATTCATTAAGTTGACCATTACAATATATGGCAATTAAAATAATTAACTTTAGTTCCCCAGAATGTGTTTCTATGGTTTGAAGTGTGTTCAACAATCACATGACCAGGATTCCAAACTCTAGTATCACCACATACCAGATCCTGATACATCACCTTCCATTCTCGGGTCCCCTGGTAAGGAGAAAAATAAAAATCATCAAGTCTTGTGGAAACATGAAGAAACAGGAAACCTTGTATATGTCTGGTTGGAACAGAAAATGGTGCACCTGCTATGGAAAATAGTTGTTCATCCAAAAAACAGATATATAATACTTATACGGCAGCTCCACTTCTGTGAATGTATTTAAAATAACTGACAAAAGATACTCTAGCACATGTGCAGACATGATCAGGCACACATTTACAGTCTACAACATGAATATCCATCAGCAGATAATCGGTGGAATAGTATTCATCCCTACAAATAATGAAGGACTAACACATGGGTGAACCTTGAGAATATTATGTTCATTGAAAAAGAAAGCCAGACACAAAGGTCCATAAATTATAGGCAATATTTATGACAATATTTACATGAATTATCTATGTAGACAAGAAACTGACCCTAGATTGTCAGAAGTGAGGAGGACGGGCACAGAAAGCAATTACTTAATGAATGCTTTTGGAGTGATGCAAGTGTTTTGGAAGTAATGGCAAAATTTGCCCAACATTGTAAGGTAAAGGTAAAGGCCCTCCCATTGATCATCGATTTGCTAGAGCGGGCCCAGTAACGTCTCCATTGGAGACTTTGTTGTTACTGTGTCTGGCATATCGAATACTCTCGGTAGCTTGCCAGGCTCTATAGGAAATGCCACTGTACACTTTAAAACTCTATTTCGTGTTACATAAAATTAACATAGACCCTTAACACAATAAAAATGCTTCTATACATAGATTCTTGATAAATAAAGCCTTGTTTATATGATATAGCTATGATTATATATTATTTTTGTCGATAACCTCAAGCAGGAACCAGTAATGTCTCCTTTGTCCTAGCCCTGAGATTTTAAAAAGTGCCATATTCAAGGTTCTTTCAGGGTTAGGAGAATGAGACCCATCATTTTACTGGTATTTGTCATATTGGGTACGACACGGGGAGTTTGCCAGACTCTGCCATGTGGGCAGGTTACATTCGGTAGCCTACCAGGTTCTCCAAAGTAAGAACGAGATAATAAGATGCTTCCGGGAGCTGGAATTAATCCATGTGGAAGCAATTAGTACAATTAGTCTCTGGGTCTTGGCCGTTGATGGGATTACCTGGTGCTGGGGGCAGTTGGTAGGTGTGAACCCTGCCTAATGGAAGGTGGAGGAGATAGAGGATCTGGGTAGAGGATTCTCAGCGCCGAGCCGAGCAGGCTTGGAGATCTCAGCCCCAGGACTCGCATGCCTGCGTTCCTCTGCCGGTTCCTTCATGCGTGTGGAGAGTGGTCTCAGCATGGTTGTGGCTGGTTCTGGAGGGCTTCAGCTGCCGGGGCAGCCGAAATTAATATTTTTATTAATAAATAAAATATATTATTTCATTGATCTTGCTTAAATATCTGTTCCTGTAAGTCAAAAATTAACAGATTAATCCACTTGCTTTCTGCTTCCATTTGTTTTCATATTTTCATTTTTCCAAAAGCTAAAAACTCTAATTTGATTGCACTATGTTGTGTTGAAGTTACCTGCCCACACTCTATTATGTCAGAAGTTAGACAAATATAAAAATGCATTTAAGAATGAAATACATGTTTACTTAAATATTCAATATTATAACATTCTGCACCTGTATATTTCACTTACAATTGCAATTAACTTTTAATGAGAGCATTTTGTGGGCTCCCCTGTCCTAAGTGCCTGTGATCTTTCACTGAGGCTTTCACGTTGACATTTGAATCACAAAAATTCTCAGGGCTGGATTGATATAGTACAGTGAGTAAGGGTTTTCCCTTGCACACTGCCAACCCAGGTTTGGACCCTGGCACCATATATGGTCCACTGAGCATTGCCAGGTGTGATCCCTGACAGAGCCAGGAGTAAGTCCTGAGTACTTCTGGGTATAACCAAAAGAAAAAAGAAAAAGAAATTCTCTGAGTTCAGAGCATCAAATTAATCCATGTGGAAGCAATTAGTACATGATAGTATGATAGTTACAGGATTAACATGGTGGTTGAAATAATCAACTATAAACTGCAAGCTTTTGTTATGCTCTACTTTGGTCTGATAGTGGATATTGCAAGTAACTTAATGGAAGCATTTTGGATAAGAATTCACTCTCTGATATGAGATTGTATAATATTCGCTAAAGATATATTCAATTTATGTTGTATCATTTTTTTAACTTCACATCACAATTTACTCTCCTGACATTGCATTTGTCATAAAGTCATTTAAGCTGTGTATGGCAATTTTAACCAATGAAGTAGGATTTTATGCTGAAATGAGATCATGTAACTTCTGGTTAGATCTTAAAGATATCTGTGTACTTATAAATGGTTAAATATTAGAGTTTATGTATCATATATGCATGTATTTAACTCATATGTTCATCTATATATGAATATTAAAGTATTGGTATATATTATCTATTTACATTTGTAATGTGGACAGATTTTATTTATATGTATAGAATTTTAGAGTTTCAATAACCAGGGGACTTATTTAATTTATGCCACAGAGTTGAGTCCAGAACAATAGCATAGGGATTATGATGATTGCTCTGTATTACATTGACCCTCATTTGAATCCCTGACACTACATCTGGCTCCCTGAACACTGCCAGGGGTTATTCCTGAGCACAAAGCCAGGCGACAGTAGCCCCTGATAGTACCACTGGGTGTGACTCCTAAGCAAATATAACAACAGCAACAACAAAAATTTTTAAGGACATTGGTAGATGAAGGACCTGGCTATTGACTTCTATTTTTATATTCACTTGGTCCTTGATCTCTGAAGAGAGTGGAACAATTTATGTTCCACAATTTATGTTCCAACAGTTCAACTACAGTTTTATGATACCATTAGGCTAATTATGAACAAATTAGAGTAAATATGTAAAACTGTTGTGTTCAGTTCTGAATTCATCCAGAAATTCATGACCTCAGCCCACTAGTGTGTGATTTACAGATTTATTCATGTTAAGCCACTCTTATTTCTGCAAAAACCCTAACTTGTTATGATATATTATATTTTACTAGACTATTTCAGTTGATTAAGCAGTGTCCTTCAAAAGTGTGCCTTACCTATGCTCATAAGTGAAATTGGCTTATAATTTCCTTTTCTATACTTATCTAAATTTAAAATTAAAGTGCTCTTTTCATCAAATGTTTTTGGTAATATATCCTCTTTATTACTTTCTAAAACTACTTTTATAAAATAGGGATTATATGTTCCTTCAAAGTTAGAACAACTCTCATAAAATTTTCCAGATCAGGGTCTTTTTCTGTATTTTCATTTCCTGGTAGAATATTGTGTGAAAAATAGAAATGAAAAGTACTTTTACACTGTATTTTAAGTTAATTTTATAGTTTTATAAGGAGAAAGGTTAGCTTTTCATATTAGATGGCTAATTTATAAAGTAATTGTGACACTTCATGTACTTTTAGGATCGTTGAATAATACATCGTATAGAAACATGTTTTAACTGTATTAAGATCACCATGCATCTGTTTCATCTTATGTTCCTTCACAACCTATTTTTCTTTATGCCCTAGGACATACAGGACGCTTGTTAAAGTCTCTTTGCTTCACCAGTCTTTCTTTCCTGTTGCTTCACATCATTTTTCACATCACATTGGCTAGTCTTGAAGCTCAACACCGCATTGCACCTGGTTACAACTGTGAGTATTGTGGTTGGTTTCTTTTTACATTATTTCAATACATAATAGTTGTATATACTATAGTATTTATAGAAAAGTATGTAATACAGTTCATGATAATTTTGGTAACTTAGCTACCTTACATACTATATATATTAAGACCCTCCCATGGAAAATTGTCACTTAATGAATGAATTTTCAGCATAATACAAACATTTCACAATTTATATTTAGTCCTTAGAGCTTCAGGTGATGAGACAATACCTTTGTACTTGATAAAGAAGATTTCAAAAATTAAATAATAAATGGTCATGACCTCATTCTGTAAGATTTCAGGTCTTTATGAGAAAATATTTAATTACACATTTTTCTCAAACTGGAAATTAGTTATTGCTGTTTATAATAAAACAATGTATTTTATACTCATTATAATTAAAATTTCATCTGAAAAAAATAAACACATAATGCTCTCTGTAGCTACAGTGCATTTAAAATAGATGGAATACATTTCACATGTTTTAAATTAAATAAGAAACCCTGAACTATTTGAAATAGATTATAATAACAGTTTTAAATTGCCAATTTTTGTTTGAGGAAACCATTTGTGGGTTCGAAATGTCTTGATCCATCATTATAAGTGAGAAAGCATATAATATTAAAAAATCTATCATCTTCCTTGATCAGACTATTAGCATAAATATTATGAATTTTTGTTTGTTTCTTTGTGGGCCACACCTGGCCATGCTCAGGGTTTAATTTTAGTTCTGTGCTCAGGGATCACTCCTGGTAAGGCTACCATATGTGGTGCCAGGCATCGAACCTGGGTCAGCCTTGTACACAGCAAGTACCCTACCCACTGTAAACTCTCTCTGGTCCTGATATATCTTAAATAAATTTTCATAGAATATTCACTATATTTCCCTGAATAACTTTTTTGGCAACTAAACTTTATACATTAAACTTAACATAAATTTTGGCCATGTTAAGTTCAGATTTCATCTGATAATAATTATCATAAAAATAATTTCTAATCTAAGATCTATATCATATATGTTTATATTTTTCAAATTGTAATGTGACTCATATACAGACATGCATTTTTGAATCATCATTTTTTGTCATTGACAGACAACGTATATAATAGTGGTACCAATATGTCATACAGTATAGACTAAGTATGTAGTAGGCTACACTGTATAGATTTCTATTATTTATGACTTTGGCACAACTATGAGATGATCTACTGGTGCAGGTTTAAAGCTTATCCCAGTTTTCAAATGTATTAATATTGTTAAATGTGGCTACCCTAAAAATAATCCATTTATGTTATAAAAATTAGTAGTTTTTAGGTTCTGCAATAATCAACACTAATTGTGACCCTTTTCCATGAACACTTTAAGAAAATACCATTTTCATTTCCACCTGTCCATAGACAACCTCTTCTTTTAGAGTTACATTTTCTATTTAATTATCTTTTTTTTTTCGCTTTTTTGGGGTCACAACTGGCAATGCACAGAGGTTAGTCCTAGCTCTGCACTCAGGAATTACCCCTGGTGGTACTCAAGGGACCATATGGGACGCCGGGAATTGAACCTGGGTTGGCTGTGTCCAAGGCAAACTCCATACCTGCTGTGCTATCGCTCCAGCCCCACATTTTCTATTTAAAAAGAAATTTCACAACATGTGAAATTCTGTCTGGATTCTTTCACTTAGCATAGTGTTTTTAAAGTTCATTCATGTTAGATTATGTTTTAGTATATCACTAATTTTCATGATTCAGTAATAGTTATTGTTAATAGAATTATGAAGCTTCATTAAACAATCTTAATATTAAATTTTGGGCTGGAGCAATAGCACAATGGGTAGGGCGTTTGTCTTGCACGCAGCCGACCCAAGTTCAATTCCTCCACCTCTCCAGGAGATCCCCGAAAGCTACCGATCCCGCCCACACGGCAAAGCCTGGCAAGCTACCCGTGTTGTATTCGATATGCCAAACACAGTAACAAGTCTCACAATGGAGACATTCATTACTAGGCCCGCTCAAGCAAATCGATGAATAATGGGAGGACAGTGGACAATGCTACAGTGCTAATATTAAATGTTGATCAAATAATGCCTAAATAATGCTACCAAGTTATGTTATAATATTAAATAACATTGATTATATTTTCCAGGTTCATACTTTTAAGTACTTAGATCTAAATGTTAATAATAGTTTGTAGTACTTCTCAATCAATATCCTTTGCATATTTCTTAATAAGGCAGCCCCAGGTTTATAAGAAAGTATTTACAAGTATAATTGTTGTCTAAACGAAATGCTACTTTATAAATAATGATTCTACATCACCAGACTATTTTAGTCACAGAGTCATATTTCCTCAAATTTTTGGTGGGTGCCACATCCATTGTTTCTTGGCAGTCAGTCCTCATTCAGTTCTTAGAGGATCATGTGTTGTTTGGGATTCATCTGGGGATTTCAGCTCTTTGAACTATCTCCCCATCCACAACTCAGATTTTTAAAATTTTGGGCTTATAAGTATGTATCTTGCATATTTCCTTTCTAACTGCTCCATAGTATTCTATTGTGCAGATATACCAAAGTTTCTTTAATCAGTCATCTGTTCTTGGGCATTCACATTGTTTCCAGATTCTGGCTATTGTAAATAGTGCTGCAATAAACATACAAGTGCAGATGTCATTTCTCCTGTACTTTTTTGCATCTCCAGAATATTCCCAGAAGTGGTATTGCTGGGTCAAATGGGAGCTCGGGTTCTAATTTTTTGAGAAACATCCGTATTGTTTTCCAAAAAGGCTGAACCAGTCGGCATTCCCACCAGCAGTGAAAGAGAGTCCCCTTCCTCCCACATCCATACCAACACCAGTTGCTTTTGTTCTTTTGGATGTGTGCTAGTCTCTGTGGTGTGAGATGATATCTCGTTGTTTTGATCTGCATCTCCCTTATGACTAGTGACAAAGAACATATTTTTATGTTCCTTTTTGCCATTCGGATTTCTTCTTTGAGAACATTTCTGTTAATTTCTCACCCCATTTTCTGATGGGATTGAATGTTTTTTTCTTGTAGAGTTCAACCAGTGCCTTGTATATCCTTGATATTAATTCCTTGCAGAAGGGTGTTGGGTGAATATCCTTTTCATTCTATAGACTGTCTTTGTATTCTGGTCACTGTTTCTTTTGAGGTGCAGAAGCTTCTTTGTTTAAGATGATGCAGGTGGCATAATTCTCAGGGTGAGGATAGGCATGGCCAAAATCAGTCCCTAGCCACGCCCCATTCTCTGTCAGAACAGTGATGGATAGTTAAAGATGCTTCTCCTAAGTTAGATATTGGGTGTTCTCATTATTTAATATTTCCATAACTAGATTATAATATTTTGATTCATTCAGAAACGTTCTGTACTATTTATTTACTATAGTATAGCTTAAATCTGACTTAATTTTTTAAGTTTTCCAAAAATGCCGATTTGGTTAAAAAAGGCAAAAATAGCTCAAAATTTAAGGAATTGTCTTTCCTCTTTCATCGTCCCCATATACAGTTCTTGTTCTATTACCAGTGTAGTAGGTATCATATAAGTACATTTTATGTCTACCAAGTTAAATTGTAATTTAAATTTTATTTTCCCACAAGTGATAGGTTCTTTCTGAAGTTCTAGTGATTTTTAACCAACCAACAAACTTAAGATTGAGTTAGAAAAAAAGTCTGAATTCTTTACTTCTAGACATAATTACTTTGAAAAGGGATCTTCAGAGATAATAAATTTCTTCTGAAAAATATGGTGCATATAAAATGACCTTGGCTCAAAGATTTTTGGTTCTGTTCTATGTGTAGCATTTTGAAAAGAATAAAAGAGAAGAACAAACAAACTTCATACCCTTGCAAACTAGTTTAGTGCAAGATTGACATAGACCAAGTTTTCAGCCTAGAGCAGTTTTTAATGACAAGTTATATAAACTCCTGAAAATATGGTTAGTGTGGGTAATGGAAATATTGAATTTTAAATTTGGGTTGACTTCACCTTACTGGTATTATTGTGAGTATTTGGAGTTCAGATTACACATCAGACTAGTAAACACAAGCACGGCTATTTTGATATCTGATATTTTAAGTTCACCTTTTCTTTTCCAGTCAAGTAGCAGAACTTTGAACAAAAGGACAGAAAGAGTTTTGACCAATAGTGAGTGCTGTTTGTTCATACAAATGTTTTCTCTATGGTTAAGTGGAGAATTAAAACAAAGTAGTGTAGACATATTAGATTTCCCAATCATATGCAAGACCTATGCAAATTCAAGACCTCCAAAGCTTAATTTATATGTATTTGGTTTTGTTTTCTGAACTACTACTCTCCTTTTTTAAAACTCCTATAGACTCATTATGACAAAATTCCTCAGTGTACATCAGAAATCTCAGGCACATGTTTAAGGACAACAGTAGCATTTATAAATATTGAGTCATTGAAAGCTCTGTTCCCCCAGAGTTCTGTGAATATTAACTGGAGGTTGTAAAGATTTTTCAAACTACTTTATTCAGTTTTTGACTAGCTGGCAGGTTTGTTAAAGGTGTCATTGTGTAGAACCGAAATTTAATCTCCCTGCCCTGCTTTCTTCTTTTTCACTCCCCAAATGGTGCTCTTATAGGTAAGTGAGGAAGCCAATGGGGTCCAGGAGACCTCTGTAAATGTTCCTCAAACATATGTTGTGTTGCTAACTAAAATATTTTCATTCCCTCAAAACTATACTATTTAAATAAATGTGAACCCAGTTTCAATTATGTCATTACAGAGTTCACAGAAGTATTTTGTTCAACTCAGTGATGGCAGTATAGCAATATAAGTCAGATTTCAAGGCCATGCTGGATTCCTGAACTTTGCTAAAGCCTGCTATTGATTGAAAGAAACTTGAGTGCTAAACTCTAAAGGAAAATGCATGGCAATAATCATTATTTATAGAGCACCTACTAGCTATAGGACCCTAGGGGTCATTATATTCCTTTTCCAATTAATGATTCC